CATATTCACTATTCCTGTGAATATTCTTGCAAATCCTGCTGTTACGGCTAGATCAATAATTATTGATCCTCTGCTCGCTCCGACAACATGAACGCTTTCGGGAGCCTCACCTACCGCCATTGCTATGCCTCTACTAATAGCAACCCATTTTTTCGACCATTTTTCCCATTCGACGACGTTATTAATTGATGCGTCTTGTTGGAACTCTACCCGCACCAAACATCGATCTTCATCTAATGTTGCAGGCACTAACGCTTCAAGTTCTAACCCTGAAAACGACGCAGTTATCTGACTAGCTCGCTCCTTGGCTTTGTCTAGTGACGCTTTTGCATCCTTCACTTTTTCCAGGGCAGTGGCTGGATCAAGCCCAGTTTGGTGTTCGATCTTCGATAAAAATCTACTGCCATTGCGCCCCAGATACTGAAGCACGCCGTAATCCTCAAGTAGCCGAGATTGATCCATTGTCAGACTGTTCATTGGCATAGCTAAAAGACTGTCTTTCAGCTTCTCTAATGGTTCTTCTAATGGTTGCTTATTCGGTTGTGTGCTGTTGTGTTGAAGTACATTGATAACGGCTTGGTATTGCGCATCAAATATCTTGAATTCTTTCGTGATCCACTGGGAGAGGTTATGCAGTTCTTCAATATTCATTCGTGGTTTCTTTCTTCTTAAGTTGTCGTTATCGCGATATTGCTCTTTTCAACGTATTCCGATGAACGCCGAGCATCGACGCCATGCCCGATAAAGTTTCGTCGCCCTTCTCTATCGTTCTTTTTGCATGTATCACTTGCGCAGGAGTTAAGGCAGATGGTCTGCCCAAGTGTTTGCCACGGCGACGAGCCGCCGCCATTCCTGCCGTTGTTCGTTCGCTGACTAGATCGCGCTCAAATTCGGCCAGTGCGCCCATGATGTGAAAGACCAGCTTACCGCCTGATGTTGTCGTGTCGATGCCGTCCTGCAGAGCGATGAAGCCTGCGCCCTTCTGGCCGAGTTCGCCGATTAGCTCAATCAGGAAGCCCAAAGAGCGCCCTAGGCGGTCAAGTTTCCACACCACAAGCGTATCGCCCTCACCTACGGCCAAAAGTGCGGCATCGAGGCCGCTACGGGCTTTGACTGCCCCGCTCACCCCTTCATCAGTGAACAGCTTTTCACAGCCCGCCGCCTTCAATGCGTCGTTTTGTAGGTTTAGGTTTTGGTCTTGGGTTGATACCCGTGCATAGCCGATTTTCATGCTATCTTTTTGCACTACCCTTTTAGTGCAGTCAAGCCCTTTTTAAATCAGACACTTAGCAAGTTAGGTTTTCATGCCCTGAAAGGGTTCCCTTTTAGGGCACCTAGTCGATCTATGTTCACGGATAGCAACTCGCTTTTGACTGGATAGAGTTGCCGCCGCGTTTCTGGCAGTTGAACGCGTTCAACTGGTGGGGGATTGTAAGTTCGTTGTGTTCACCAATTCCGATGCCTGCTGAGTCTCTACTACCAAGCGCCACAACCGCGCCAGTTCCGCCATCGTGGCGTGAGGCACCGATTACACATGAGTTGCTTGCGATGCCTAACCGCCCTCCCGTATCAAACCCCTGCTCGTAAAGCCAAAACCCGTGTGCTTTCTTCGAACCGTTCGCTCGCGTTTTCGTGCCTGAATGGCGCAGACTGCTGATTCGCGCTCACAAACATCTCGGCGCGCTTTAACAGGCAATGCGTCGCCGCTGACCCAATTTTCCGGTGAAGAAAGCGTTTGATGCTTAATCGCGAGACTGGACTTTGGATCCGCTTTTTGAGTGTGATCGGCCTCTGTTCTGATAGACCGCGCGCATTCGGGCTCACCCGTCGTTAACAGACTATTGCCCGTTAGGGCTTACTGCCAGGAATCCTGATTTTTTGGCAGATCGCCTGACGGGTCATAGGCTTGTACCGAGTCTTTCTCATCGAGTAGTCCCGTATAAAGCACGAGGTTGGTTCCGCCCTCCCCTGCCGAGGATCGGAACAGGATGCCCTTTGCCCCCAGCGCAAGCACCTCGTCGCCCAGTACCCAGCTGGGCGGCTCGATCCGCTGGTCAAACCACAGGACACGCCAGTCGCTCATGAATTCCTCCCACAGCGGGGGCCAGCGGTCGGGCACATAACCCGCACGGAAATCGATAACGGGGTCCACGCTGAGCTGGTACGCCACCAGCGTGCCGGGTGGCGGAAGTGCCGATAACTGCTGATACTCGCGAACAGCGGTTTCCGCTTCGAGTGAGAGATAAAGTGCCGGAACACCGGGTCGGTTGGCGCGGCCGCCGTGAGTCGCCGCACCTTCGCCACTGAGTGGCAGACCTGCCCATCGCGGCGTGTGCATCCGAAAAGCCGTCAGATCACGCAACCCCGTTTGAATCACCCCGCCGGGCCGGCTTCAAGAGACACGATGTATCGCAGCAGGTCATCGCTGCGTTTTTCAACTACCAGTCGCTCGGCTGTCTTGTACTGGAAGGCCGGAATCGGTTCGTTCCGGTACCAGAACAATGCCTTGTTAACGTCGCCGGACAAATCCGTCGCAGCGCGAATGACACGAATCGATTCTCTCAGGAACTCCTGAATGCCTCGCGATGCCGGCGCACGGGCCACCGTGTTGCGATGCACCCCTGCCAGTTCGGCCAGTGTCTGCAGGTCAATCTGCAGCGCTTCGCTGTAGCGCCGTGGCGAGAACGCCGGACCTGGCGACTCGGGTTCCTGCAGGCTTTGCAGGAACGCGTCGAACGAAGGATCCAGCCGTGCTAATTCTGTGGCTGCCATTGTGGCCTCGTACAAAAGATCATTTGATGCACTAATTATGCACTTTTTATGCACCAATGGCAATAGGGCTTCTAAAGAACCGGCAAACGCCGGGTGAGGACCTAACCGCTCTCCCCTGCCCGCCAAGTTACCCACCGCCTCCGCCAGCGACGGTCGCGCTGCGTCGGTGGATAACTTCCAACATCGTCCGCTTGGTTGGGTATCCACGCACCTGCAACGAACGGAGAGCGACGAGCATCGCGACGACTCCCGTGACATCCCCACCGATGCGACAGGTTGTCGTCACGTTGTGCTGCGGGGTTTTGAGGTGAGCGTCAGCGTGACGTTCAAGCCAACGTTATCCGGGACTGGCAACGACGTTCGTTCACGCAAACATTCACGCTGGCTCTCACCTCGATCAATCCGTCATCAGCCGGCCCGGGCGCCCTACCCTGCGACGAATTCCTCGATCAGTTTCGCGAGCTGGGTAACCTTGCGGGCACTGAGTACACCCTTCGGGAACGCGACGGTAACGGCACCGCCCTGCTGGGTCAACGTCGCCTCGCCATTTTCGCCGATCTTCTGGGTCTTCTTCGAGACAGTTTCCTTCTGCTCATCACACAGCACCTGGGTCACGACTGCCCCTGCCGGTTTGGCCTTGCGGGCGGCCAGTTCCCTGGCCCGTGTCAGGACGCCCCTCTCATCCTTCTTCAGCGCATCGGCAATTGCCTTACCCCAGCGGATCTGCAACTCCAGCGGTGAACGGAAGGCGGCAATCACCGGCTCGGGCAGCTCGGCCAGTGTTATCGCCCTGCTGATGGATGTATGGGAAATCTCAAGCGCCTTCGCGAGCAAACGGATCGAGGGGAAAACCTTCAGATCGATCGCGCGCTTGTAGTGCAGCCCCTGCTCGTATGGGGACAGATCTTCACGCTCCCTGTTCTCCCTGTCCATTGATACAAACAGTTCTGCATCGTCAACAGCCTCAATCATTGCCAGAACCGGAAGGCCAAGTGCCAGGCACGCACGGTGGCGGCGATGGCCAAAAACCAGTTCGTACCGGTCAGGCTTGCCTCGAGCCGGCCTGACCTTGATTGGTTGTACGTTTCCCTTGGAGGCGGCAATGTCCGCTTTGAGCGCTTCGAACTCCGGCGTTGAAAAGGACGCCTCGTGTCTGTTGGCCAGCTTCGAAGCGGAGATTGAAACCGGATCCAGCTGGACCACCTGTAATGAAGACTCGAAGGCCTGCATCCGTTCGCGCAGGGACTTGAGCTCCTCGTTGGACTCACTCATTTCTTTCTGAAATGCGAGCATCCCCCCCGGCCCGGTGGCCGGTCCCTTTCGGGTTGGTCGCTCAACCGGTGTCTCGGTGGGTGCTGTCGGGGCTTCTGCCGTCAGTGATTCCAGCTTCTGGGCGAACTTTCTTTTGAGGCCTGCCATCTCTTTTCTCCTGGTGGTGAACGGTTCACCACGCCATTTCCAGTCAGTGGTGCACCGTGCACCGCTTGTTCCTGATCACGTGGTGCACCGTGCACCACCTTCCTTATCTTCTGCACT